GTGGGTGTGTACTTACCTGTGTTCCTAGCCGTCGTCCGCCGCCGCCCGCCGCCGTCCGACGACCGTCTAAACCGCCGGCAGGGAGGACGGAAGCAGAGGTCGACGCGTCGGCGACTACTCCGAGGAAGAGCCGTTACCGGTTACAACGGGAGAGAGGAAAGTCAGAGCAGAGGAGAGAGAAAGTTCAGCCAATAAAAATAAGTAATAAGTAAAAAAATAAGTTGGGGGAGAACATGACCTAAATAAACAATTTTTGAAGGAAGAAGTATTATCTATATTAACACACACAGAGAGAGTATATATGTGTGTCTATGTGTGTATTTATTTATTCAAGAGAAACATTGACAGAAAGATGTTCAATTTATCTCTAACAACTCAGTCCAACAACTACTCCCAGATTTTGGCTTTTCGAACCAAACAACCTATTCCCAAACACTAATTTTAGCTTTCTAAATAGTCAAAACAACCAAAGTCAGTGCAAAGGCTAAAAGCTAGTTGAAAAGCCATTTTTCAAAAACCCCCTATGTATTCCCTTCATTCTCTTTTAACGGCTCTATGATTTTCTTCATACATTGAAAAATAAAGGAATACAAATACACCACAAAAATCAGCCACTTTCAAACTGGAGGGAGTATCGTTTAAGCTATTAAATAAGTTGATTTTTTGAAGCGATATAAAAGCCTTGTAGACTAACCCAGAGATCACTTATTCAATTTTAACTATCAACTTAAGCTATTGGTTAGTTTGGTTTCTTAAAAATAATCATTGATCTTGTTTCATTGTTTTAACTATCTGCTCACTCTAGTATTGTGTTCATTATTTATTTATTCACATTGTGTACTCAATAATAATAAAGAGTTGTAAAAACAAAAATATGTAAATGAGCTACTCATATAGGATTTACCAGGTCAGAAAGATTTCCCAGAACTTTGGTTATAAGCGTCTCCGAATATGCTGCTGAATCCACTTGGACGTCCACCGGAATTTCCAAAGCCTTCAGCGTTGCCACCAAAGCCACTTGGACGTCCACCGGAATTTCCAAACCCTTCAGAGTTGCCACCAAAGCCACTTGGACGACCACCGAAATTTCCAAAACCTTGAGAGCCACCAGAATTGCGACTGCCAAAGTTTCCAGAAGGCCCTCCACCAAAACCACCGCTTGAACGTCCAGAAGAAGGTCCACCAAACCCACCCCCCGCACGACCACCATATGTTGACCCTTGAAAGCTGCTGCCACCAAAGCGACCACCGCCACCAAAGCGTCCGCCACCACCAAAGCTGCCACTTCCAAAGCCTTGATTAGAGGAGAAACGGCTATAACCTCCTCCCAAGTCACTCAACATGCTTTCTGCTGCAGGGTCCACTTCGATCGCTGGGAGCTACAAATTACATTTAGTACCCATTTATTTAAAACATTACTCCGTTTTATATTTATCAACAAGACATGATTTTCATATATCATTTTCTTCAACCTAACTTATACAATATTCTCAAATACTGGGTGGATGATCAGCAACTTTGACCCACAATTCAAAATTTAGAAAATCAGCATAAATGAAGCTGACATATCAAGGACACCCAGAAAAGATACAGGGGAAAAAGCTCTTCAATGCATGGTTCTCATTAGTGTTAAAACCTTAAGAGCAAGAAATGACCCCCGTAGCCAAAAAGGCGGTTGTAATTTGTTTTACCTATAATCACAGTGATCAAATTAAATAATATATAATCGTCTTCAATAACACAAGTGAGTCGGATAACTGAAAACAAAGATGGCTTAATTTACAAGCATCAACATTGACTTATGCATAAAAATATATAATTACATTCAGCAATTAGAATCAATAATGCCTGCAGAGGAGACATGCAAGGTAGAAGATATCACCATGTGATTGTCAATACTCCCACAGCCCACAAGCACGCCCACATACGCGCGCGCACGTCCCAAAAAGATCCTCACTTTCGAATAGCATTTAAAAAAACATCTCTTTTACAACCATTTTAATTTCAAATTGGTGTAGAAATTGGGTGGTTGGGTAGGCATTTTGGAGTGGGTAGTAGTTTCCCCATTTGTTGATGTCTGCTTCCTTGAGTGCTTTCTGCTTGCCGTATTTTTTTGTCGTTAATTTTTGTTGTTTTTTGCATTTTTTGTGTTCCTTGCTTTCTCTGCTTTATGTTCCTTTTGTGAGTACATGAGCCGGGGGTCTCTATGAAAACAGTCTTTTTACTTTTAAGTAGGAGTAAGATTTGCGTACACACAGCCACCAGTTTATCTACTTTTAAGTAGGAGAAAACCGAGTACACACACCCACCCCAGACCCAACTTTTGTGAGATTCAACTGGATTGATGTTTTTGTTGGTATAGAAATAAATAAATAAATAAATAAATAAATAAATATATATATATAGGTTCTGGTGAGTGGTGAGAATGCGATCTTATGAAAGAAATAAGAATGAATCTGGTGCATTAGATTGTGAGATCTAAGGGTTAGGATTGCATCAAAATTAGGTGCACCAAAATACTCCCTCCGTACTAAAACTTTCTTCCCAGACCACTATTCCAACTTCACGGGAATTTATATTTATTTGTGTTTTTTCATGGCCTATATGATAAAATAAAATATTCTTGTCACCACTTGTTTTGTTGAACTTTTGATGTAGTTTTGAAATATGTATGTTTTATTTTTTATTTCTATACCAATATTTAAATAAAATAGATTGAAAAAATTTGGGATTTTTCTTCGTTTTGCGCAACGGGAAGAAAGTTTTATGACGGAGGGAGTAGTTTGAAAATGCAGTCATGTTGAAATGCACCAAAATCCTTTGAAAATGCACCATCTCAAATTCTGAGCGCAGGATGCAATCTGAGCCACACAATGCACGATATATATATATATATATATATATATATATATATATATATATATATATATATATATATATATATATATATATATATATATATATATATATATATATATATATATATATATATATATATATATATATATATATATATATATACTCCCTTGTAACATAAATGATTACGAATTGCACAAAACGAAGAAAAATCCCAAGTTTTTTCAAACTTGCATAGTCAGAAACTACATCATAAGTTCTACAAAACAATAAGTGATAATGATATATTATTTTATCAAATAATCAATGAAAATGCATATATAAATAATATTTATTGTGAATTTGAAATGGTGCACATTGTAATCAATTGTGGGACGAAGGGAGTGCGTGTATAGGACAAACACGCGTGATTTGAGACTAATCTTGAAGTTAAGAGAACTTTTACACATGCATATTGTTAGCTGGTTTAATATTAATTAGCTTGCAATTATTGCCAATAGGGGTCGTAAAATAGTCAAACTGGAAGCTTGTATTAATTCATATGTATATGCATGCCGTGAATTTATCGTGAAGCATGAAACAATGCATTGTTTGTTTTATACACACTCACACACACGATTGTTCAGGTTTATTAAAATAATTAAGTCCAAGTGAGGCAATCTCTCAACAGCGCATAGTACAACTAATAAACAGTACATAAAAATGTAAATAAAAAATATTAAAAAAATTGCAGTTCATGTTCTTACCTCGGTAAACCTGCACCCCACATCACGCTCAATATTTTTAACATCTCTAAGTTGCTGATGTGAATACATGAGTATTGCACTTCCTTTCTTACCAGCACGTCCAGTACGGCCAGATCGATGAACAAAGATCTCTGAAGAGTTTGGAATTTCATAATGTATTACCTGAAGAAGAGAAACTTTCAGGGTAGCTGAAATTAAAGGATGAAAGATTCCCATTCATTTTTTACACCCGCTGAAACAGCATAATGAGAACTCACTAGTAGGTGTTGGCACGGTCCATGACACTACTAGAACCTATCATGGACCACGCTTATTAAAACGGTACAATATCGGTCCACATATGAATCCCAAAAACGTTCAGTATCATTCCATTATGAAATGGAACGATACACTACCATAATATACCATGTTAAACCGATACCAAAAAAGCAAGCAATTATACCCCATATAATTTTGAAATGAAAGTACAAGTTTGTATAAAAACACTTGTATTTAAAAAAGAACTTTGTTAAAAAAAGAGAATGAGTTGAAATTTAAAAGATCATAAATCTTAAGAATAAAAGATAACAAGTTCAAATTCTAAAAAATGACTTTTTTCAATTCATACGATATTGGACTATTAATAAGTCTAATAATAATAATAAATGCAATAATAATAATAATAATGAAAATAATATTAAAAGAGGAAAAATAATCAAAATACAACATGGAGTACTCCGTATATGGCAAGATGAAATACACAAATAAATACCTGGCATATTTCATAGTTAACTTCAAAGGGTGTGGTTCATGATAAAAGATTTTAAGTTTCGTATCACGGTCTCATCCCAATTGATTTCTATTCGGGTTCCGTTTGATACTAAAAAAACAAAACATGATAAACGGTCCGTTACCAGTACGGTCCGGTATTTGGTTTTTTGGCTCAATCCTTCTCACTGTCATATATAAGCAATTAAGCATATCATCAATTAAAAAGACTAACCAGATCCACATTAGGGACATCAAGACCTCGGGCAGCAACATCTGTGGCCACCAATACATTGAAGTGACCATCTCTGAAACCAGACAGTGTTCTCTCTCTCTGGTTTTGTGAGATATCCCCATGCAAAGCATCACATTTGAAGCTTTTTTTCATGGCATAAGCTAATCTATCAGCATCACGTTTTGTTTGTGTGAAAAGAATACATTTCCCTCCTTTAGCATGTTCCTACAAAAATAATAGTGCTCCCATCAGATAGAAGTAGGAATCATAAACTTCACATTATAAAGTATAAACATGGATGAATTATAATTCAGCCTTTGGGGATCTAGAAAAATTTGGTAATAGATTATACTGTTATTAGAGGGCCGAGCACTGCAGGTTTCTGATGCATTTCACAGGCAATTGAGTACAAAGAAATTCCATCGGCTAGCTTCTGATCTGAGTCCCCAACCTGTAGCAAAAAGAATACATCATTCTAGTTAGAGACATAGCATGCCGCCAAAAACACAGGTAGAGGATTGGCAGGCTTTGGCTTGTATCTTAATATATATATGGAGTATTTGAGATTGCATCCAAATGAAAGATTGCGATAGTGCGGGGTATATGATTATGACTATAGCATTTCAATCCCCTTTTATTCAATTTTAAAAACATTATGTTTATCAAGAATGCAGGCTAAGCCCTACAAAACCTGTCATCTAAACAGACCATAAAGAAATTGTATACTTCAAACTAGAATAGATTTTTTTTTCTTTTTTGCATTTAAGGACCTCATACTCACAAGATCAATCTGTACTGGGTTTTTCAAGAACTGTTGGGTGAGTTTCAAAATCCAATTGGGCATTGTTGCTGAAAACATCAGTGTCTGACGATCCTTTGGTGCATTTTGTAGAATCCTTTCAACATCATCCGCGAATCCAACATTAAGCATCTGGTCAGCTTCATCTAGAACAACAAACTGAAGTTCTGATAAATTCAGTGAGCCCCTTTTAAGCAGATCAATTATTCGACCTGGTGTCCCAACAATCACATCAACGCCTCTATCAAGTTTACCCATTTGAATTCCAATGGGGACACCTCCATAGACACACAATGTATCCAAATCAGGAGCAGACTCGCAGAATTCTTTGTCCACTTGTTTTGCAAGTTCTCTAGTAGGAGCCAATACCAATGCTAAAGGGTTCCTCCCCTTCCTGCATATATGAGAATAAGGCACAAAAGGTTCAAAAAATCTCAAGGTAATTAAAAGGAGGCATGATACCTTTAAAAGCGAACGGCCGGCAATGGCAGACCCAAAAAAAGTAAAGAGTGGTGTCACTTTTCAAATCAATAGTTTAAACCAATTCCTAATTTAATAACTAAGATTAATATATTCACAAAATTTATATTATCAATATTACGTATAAAAAAGCAAAACATAAATGTATAAAAATAATAGGGAGAACTATTTAAGTAACAGTAAAACATGTTGGGGGCGGTTCATATGACATTGCTTGGTAATGTCATGGGATGACCCGGGGGATCTACAGTGCCACGTTTGTAAAATTGACAATTCCTACCCCTCTAACACTCCAAAGTCAAAATTAATTTGGGGGTGCAATTGAAGGGGGTGGGGGTGTGTTCAAGTTAGGGTGAGGTAGGGGGATTCACCGGGGGAGTTAGAGTGAGTAGGAACCGTCAATTTTACGAACGGGACACCGTAGCGCCCCTGAGTCATCCCACGACATGGGGTTCCAATGTCATGGGAACCCCTCCGAATCATGTTACCTATACAAAAATATGGTTTTTCATGTTTTTATATTAAAATAGAACCTATAATGAAAAAGAATGTCAATACATAATGCTTAAAAAGAATGTGAATCCCAACATAAAATATCAAGTTTTCCAGTGCTAACATTCTTATTCGGAGGATAAAAATGCAGCTTTGTAAAAAAAAAGAGTTCAAGAGGTGAGTTTCGAACGAAGTGTTGCCCGGGTAAGCAACTATTAGTTCAAATTATACTAATACATATACTATGTTTATACAGAGTCTAGTGGACCCCACTTGACCATTGCAATATATACCACACAACTGGTTGTCTAGTGTTTCTCATACATCTATAGAGTGTACTCATTTATGAGTAACTGAATACTCACTTTCAAGCAACAAAATACTCATTTTCGAGTAACGAACACTCATTTTTCCAAAGTTCAGTTATGCTCGAAAATGAGTTTTCGGTTATTCGAACATGAGTATTGTTTTACTCGAAAATCAACTTTCAGTTACCCAATATGAGTATTCATGTGGAAGAACGGAAACACCTGACATCCGGATTTATGGTATAGGTACTCCTTGACCATATGTACGTCCACCCAGTTGTTGCACATAACTTAAGATTTATGGTTTCATTAGTACCAAATTATTGAAACTAGCATAGACACAAAATCAACAAACCCGTGCTTCTTGTTGTAACAAATGATCTTATCCATGATTGGAATTCCAAAAGCAAGAGTCTTCCCTGTTCCAGTTCTAGCTCTGCCTATCATGTCAAGCCCCTGCATTGCTGGTTCCAAAACTGCTCTCTACAAACCCAGGATAGATTATAGAAGAGTATGAAAACCAGAGTATCAAAACGGATCTCCGTGTGAGTTGAAATTGATTTCTTAACCAAGAAATGATGCAAATGTAAGTAGATAAGACATAAGGAGACAAGAAAATGATTGACTTATGGACGACTCATTCGGCAGAAAATGGCAATTAAGGGGAAAACATATGTCGAGATACATATAGCTCATTTAAAAATACATGCAATTCAAATGGAAATTTAAAAAAAAACTTTAGGTTGAAATAACAAAAACAACAATAAAAGCCAGTGTAATCCCAACTCTATTGTGGTCAGGGGTCAAATATACCCAGCCTTACCATTGTAAACAGAGAGGCAGTTTCCATTATGTCTTTGGTGCATTGCTGCATTTACTACCCAAAAACTCATAGGAAGTATGACACAAAAGAAATATAATGAATGATTTTGATTTAGTCCACTACTTTCCCATAACGAAAAAATTGGCAATAACGACTCTTATTACTCCATCGGAGAGGTACAACTCAATCAATATTACAAGTTTCAAATTGTACGGCAATGCAAAGGTTAAAAAAAAGCATGTTTGGTCTATTTTCCATTGGTTACCTGAATGGGAAAGAGCTGAGTTATTCCCCTCCGAGCCAAAGCCGAGACGATTTCCTGAGCAATGCCGAGCCTGGAGATCTCAAGCCCTTCATCCTCTTCCTGCGAACGAGCCACAGCCACACCAGCAGCCAACGGCCGCGAGATGTGTAAGCCCCTCACTATTTGTCCCAACGGAGGAGTGAACCTCCCATTAGCTGGAGGATTAGACGCGGTGGCGACGAACTGGGGAACGAAGCGATCATTTCTGCACCTGACGATTTCGGAGGAAGACGATGTTGAATGGAAGAGGTGCGACAGAGCAGCGAGTTGAAGCCGCTTTGATGCCGGCGATGAAGAAGACCTTCTAAGGAGAGCGCTACCCATGTTCATCGTGATTTCCTTAAACCCTAGTAAACCCAGAGGGAAGGTTTGTGAGTTGTGAAATGTGAGTTAACTCGCCGCCGTTCACTTCCACATCCCTTTTTTTCTCCTCCTCTCAAGGTCCGTATGGTACTTTAGATGCACCGTATTTATTTATTTTTCCTCTTTTTGAGGGGTCATTAACCTCATTTCATTAAATATCCTTTTCTTCCATCCAAAAATAACTTTCTCATTTACTATGTAGCTTGCAAATAAATCCAAACTTATGTTGTGTTCCATTCACCTAATCTGATCTGATTTTTTAAAAATCTGGTCTGGTCTAATCTGATTTGATTATAATAAGAATAAGTCATAAGCAGAAAAAATAAGTTGAGCGGAACGCTGCCTTATACTTCTTAAATTGTTAATTTTATGTTAAATAGATAATTCTACTTTTAAAATCTATCTTATACTCCCTCCGTCCGGAAATGTTCTTCTCATTAGACTTTTCACGGTCTTCAATCTTGCACTTTGACCATTAATATCTATATTTATACATAGATATATTTTATAAAAATTTGATATTTAAAAACTACGTTTCATTATGAATATATTGATATTAAATTTACATCATAATACAATGTGTTTTTTCTACAAATCGTAGTCAAAGTTTATAAACTTTGACCAAGAAAAGTCAAATGTGAAGAACATATCCGGACGGAGGGAATATGTGATATTTCTTTATTACTCCATATATTTTTAAATACAAAATTATCTATTTAATATAAACGAGGTGAATTTTACTACAAATAAATATAAATATAATGTAGGCAAATTCTTCAATAGACCTAAGGTCAACACTTATTTTTTGGATTTTAATATATTCACTATAGGTGAATTGAGCTATTTGAAAAAAATAAAAAAAATCTTCTATTTCGGTCCTCTAAATGTGTGAGAAAATTAACATTTCATATGTGGACTTAAGAATAACGTACAACTCATGAATATAACAACACTCTTTCTTTTATTATTCATATAGTTTAAATTATAGTGCTCCCTACATCTCAAACTATACTTTCCATTGTGCTTTTGAGTAAAACTTTATAAAGGATCCTTCATAAAACGATATCACAAAAATTTCCCAAGAATAGAAGAACTACTCGAGTAATTTTTAGACATTCCAAATAAATAAAGACTATTAATTTGTAACAAATGGAGCGCTTATCTCGTAAAAAAAAAGGTTCTCTTTGTCTTTTTTATTTCTACATACAAACACAAAGCTTTGTTTCTTTGTACATTTATCATTCTACACACTCAAAATATATACGGAGTATATCAACAAAAATTAGTGTATGCATATTTACAGACAATATAAACATCATTACATCTACTATATAAATTATCATTGAGGAGTACATTTGAAGAAACAAAATTAGTGTATGCATATATACACACAAGGTCAATATCACTGCATCTACGAAATAAATTGTCATTGAGAAGTACTTTTGAACAAAATCATCTTCAGACAACCAACGAACTTGTGGTCAAGCAATATAGTAATAATTGTGACTCATAAATATAAAGTCACACATTTAAACTCCAACAGAACAATTGACTTTTTATGCTTTAATAGGAGTAACTCAAGGTTATTTCTTTGCTTTTTCGTGGTTTTGGACACAAAATGAAAAATCAGACAAAGCTATTGGGACAACTGTCACAAATAAAAGTAAATTTCATAGTTGTCTGTTTGTTTACTTTCAACTTAAATGTGTAAATAGAATTGCTACAAAAAAACAACACAAATACAGCCATTCAGGGGTCCATAAGGTAAATGTATAAGAAGATAGTGATGTTAAGTCTCAACATGTCTAACTTAAGGCCTTGATGGTCTAGTGTGACATATGGAAAGTAGCATTCAGAAAATTTTAAAGAGGCAGATGTTTATTATTATCCAAGGAAGTTCATGATCACCAAATGGAGCACTAGATTGCAGAGAACAAAATCTGCATAAGCTCGTTCTGGAGGGAGATCCTGAAATAGTAACAGGAAACAACAAGATATATAGAATGTTGAGGATCTTCCGTTAATAAGAAATTCTCGGAAAACCAATGTCAATTTACAAATTCCATAGTTTTGTACTCAAACTTATAGAGAATATTAGGAGGAGTAACTGTTATATATTGCTCCGTTTGGTAGCTGAATATTGCTTATTCTGTCTATTCCATAGCTATTGACTCCATGATTTGGGTAATTGGGTGAAACTAATGTTATCCAAAAATGTTTCCTTTTTAGCCGTTTCATGCAATTAACTCTTACAAAACGGGCTCTTATATACGCCCAAGGCCAGAAAAAAAAGGAAAAAGATTTGCAAAAAGGATGAGCTCCAAGAGAGTACTTTACCTTGAACTCCTTGTTTTCTTTGTTAACTTGGATTCTAAGACAAACTGTGAACAGAGTCTTGAATCAGTCAACAATATTAGCAAAAAAACTTGTACAGTAGTTTTTTTAAAAAAGGATAACTGTGCTCACCAGCTAGGACTGCTGTCCCTATACAAGAAAGTACCCCTGAGAGAAAAGAATTGAATGGAAATGATCCCACAATGGCCATGTATACCACCTACCAGTAATAAAATGATGGCAAAAATAAATTAAAGATGACTGTACGAGAACAAGGAAATGAAAACAAGGCCATAAAGATACAAGGGCAAAAACTGCCATTTTTTAAACTAGAGAAGCCGCTCAAAACAGCATTTTGGTAGGCAAACCATCAATGTAAAAACAAGGCCATAGAGATAGAAGGGCACCCCAATGCCCGATTCAGGACCTACAGAACAATACATACATTTTATCTTCCAGAGTTAGTAGTAACGTAAGTAATCTGTCATCGAGTTGGTATCATTACTTACAGATAACAGATTAATGAATGGGTTACAGTTTAAACAAGGTTAAGACTCCAAAGAAAATGTCATTTTATCAAAAATCTGAATCTAATATGAATCCATCTGTTTTGTTCTGTGTAAAGGTCATGTACTGCACTTGGAGAGAAACAAGCAATACTCCTAAACTAAATACCACACCCAATCCCAAGAGATCACATTACACATATTCGATTCAAATTGCAAACAACTCCCTAAATAGGCCATGAATCATTCAAAGGTTGACTCAGATGTTGTAGCAACACGGATAAATTCAGCGGAAAATATGACAAATCGAAGCATATTTTTTAAGAAAAGAAGGCAAATTCGCAGATCTGTACAGAAAATAGATTAGCAAATGGAAGTGAAGCTATAAACGGAGGAAAACCCACCTGAATCAGAGCAGTGAAGAGAGCAAACATGACATAGAGATCGATGATCTGAAAAACGAAAAAAAAATGAAACAAATGCAGATTCAGGAGATAATCATGCTTGGCGTGAAAAACATCGAGAGCGCGAAATGTATAGAGTACAATCACCTTGAGGTTAGTAGGGGTTGCAGCATAAGCAGATCGAAGAGACTGGAAGAGAGCTTGAACATCCTTACTCGCGGACGATTTCGCCATTTTTCTCTGCGAGAATTCCTCTCTCTCCCTCTCTATCTACGATGGCGAAGGAGGAGGATTTGACTGACAGCTCCGAACTCCGAAGACTTCCAGTTTAGAATCTAGACATGTTTTAAACCCTCGCCACTCCGCCCACTCGCAAGCAAAGCTTCTTAAATAATAAACACCTATATAATAAACTTAACAACTTGGCCTATTAGCTCAGCTGGTTAGAGCGTCGTGCTAATAACGCGAAGGTCGCAGGTTCGAGACCTGCATGGGCCAATATTTTTACTTTTTTCTACTGGAGTATCAATTCTCTATTTCCAAAGTTTTATAATCGTATTTGGGTTTTCTAGAAAATGAGAGATATGTGGTGCAGTGGTGGTTTACTGGTTTATAATACGGAGTACTACACTACTTCCAAAAAATATTTCCCCATTTAGAGTTTTTCGGTCAACATTTTACAATTTAGACTACAAATTGTATTTTTAAAAAAACAATGTAATGTGAATTTAATATAAAGGTTTTCATTTTAAGAATTTGATGTGTCAGATTTTTATAACATTTATTTATATAAAATTAAATGGAGTAATAGTTAAATTGGGTAGAAAGTTAGATTTGAAAAAAAAATCAAAATGTAAACACATTTTTGGGGGTGAAGGTAGTATGATTGAAAACCCTTCACATGAGTAATAAGAGTCAAAATGGAATACACATGTGCCTGCCACTAGCATCTTTGCAAGGACAAAGCTACCCTCCATCTCCATTTTCAAAGGTGAAAAACTACAAAGGACAAAGAAAACTATCAATATAGGCAGGTAATTCACGCCCAAGGGACCAATGAGCAGTAGCGTTTGCAGCATGGATTTGGCATCACTGATGATGATAGTGTCAAAACTCTGATATCATATGGCACGTCCAGGGCTAGTCATGTCTTTTTCCCCATACGTGATTGCTCGGTCAGGTACCTACGCCGTTGTAAATTTGAAACGAAGTGTTCACTTTAGTCACAATTTCTAGACATGAGAGAACACAACTGAATCAATTAATCCTTGGCCAGGATTGATTCATTGACTACATGATTTTTAATGAAAACGGTGCAGCTTATAGCAGATTCTTACGTACTTTCCAGTGTAGAAGCCAGCAGAATACCATGCATGCAAAACCTCTGAAAGGGCGGTCTCGGGTTTGGATTCATTGGCTACATGGTCATTACTCTTCTTCGGTGCTCCCTCATCACCTGAATGCAAGAAATAATAATTTTGTAGCATGGTCAAGAATGGAATAACTATGGACCAAATAAGCTGCTACTTTCTCTAGGGCTTCTAAAGTTTCAAGATCACAAGTTTAGGAGAATCTGCATTTGATGCTACTTTCTCTAGGGCTTTTTCCAATATAAGGAATTATACAAAGATAACGACCGCACACATCACAAGGAGAAGTTTTTGTTCGGTTGAAAAAAAATGAACTTACCGAAATCTTCCCTCAAGGAAGATAATGCTTTCTCCGCAGAACCCATTGCTGTTTTCACAATATCAGGTTGTTGAAGAGACGAGGTTTGATCACACTTGCTTTTTAGAGTATCATCAGCATTTTTATCAGTGCAATTTCCACCCACGCAACAGGATGGTGATGCCATGACTGGAGGCACCCAACTCTGGCATCCATAAGGGCAGTAAAGAGAGGAGACCATAGAGTTAGGAGCCTGTTCTGCATAAGCGTGATGATCTTGAGCGGTTAAGGTACTAGAATCACCAAATTGGTTAAGCTTCTGTAAAACCATTTGCCTCTGACCCTCAAGTTCATAGTACTTCTCAAGCAAGCAGGTGTAATCTTCTACACTTTGTGAGTTTACATGGCTTGTGGTTTTATCAAGGGTCTGTTCAATACTACTTGCCACTGTGTAAATTTTTTCATTCATAGGTGAAGCAATACTAGGTTCCCCCGTTTCTGCTGTCTTCGTTGATGAATTTTCATTATCATCACTTGTTCCCATGTGCCTGCAACAGGAAATGAAACACGAAAGTATTTAATTTTTTTTAAAGCAAAGTATGTTGATTTAGCATTATACATTCTGGAGTAAGCTATGGGAACACACTAACAAGGCATTATGCAACATAATCCACATAATCCCTTTATAACATTCTACGAAAAGGTCCACTCATGGTTCAAAACTCACATATTAAAAAATGGATGGCTACAGATGACAACTAAATACACTTTACAGTTCCTTGCAGATTCCATTTATTTGGTATGCTGGCTACAGAGTCTTGACTATTCATCTAAAGCATTAAAATGAAAGAATAGTAAGGCATGAATCAACGTGAAAACATTTCATTCCATTCTCGACCTTCTAGCTTCTTTGCTTTCATCATCCACAGCAGATGCATTCGTCACTGCACTGTTAGCCCCATCAGTTGGGTTATGATAGATCTGCAAAGCATATGATACAGCACGTCTATGTGAGCACTGAAAATAGAGATTGAATACAACCGGAAATACACTAATACATTTATTACAGAGCTAAGAATGGTTAATTGGTTCCAGATCAGGCTTGAAAGTGAAAATTTCTACATGAATGCCAGCAACATAGCATCGAATAACTGTAATCGAGAAATATGACATACCTTAATGGAACTATACAAGAGCAATGAAATCTGGGTATTTAACGTGCAAGTATAAAATGAAGACGAATTGAAACCAATCGCATGAGTGCATTCATGATATGCAAAGAGTCAGTAACCGACACAAGACTGATTGAGGAAAGAATCAAGACAGAACAAATAACAGCAGGAAGCAGAAACAGTTTATTCAACTAAGGAAGATAACACATCGTTGATACCTCGTCACTTCATCTAACTTCCTAAGGAATAATTCGCATATTGCACCCTAAAAATGGAATACTTAGCAGAAAGCAAAAATTAGCAAGTGCAAATTCACAAATTCTGAAACACTCCAAGGTGCAAAGTGAGAAGTATCCACTTTTTAGAAAAACTAGAACAGGAATTTCAGATGAAAAGCAGTACCGCTCAAGTAGCAATTGGGCATTCCTATGTCTAATTTCCTCAACAAATTGCCACTTCTCTCAAAAAATTGACACCATTTGAATCAAACGGACAATCATCAATTGGAATCGCAAAACCATTTGTACAAACAATTGCTCTGAGTGTACTGGAGAGCGATGGTGTGATGTGTTGTAGGGTTTTGAAGGAAAGAGGGGAAAGCGTACCTTGTATTTGGAGATAGCGTCGTTGAAGGCACTGATAAGCATCGAATCTTCCCAGAGATCGTCTTCTCCTTTGCCCATTTTCGCAGATCTTCTTGTTGTGATTTCCCAGTTAAAACGCCGGTGTAAAACCCTTCAAGTCTTCAAACCTCTTGAGCATCATTTCACCCAAATAATACCGGCTCCCTCCCAATATGAGGTACAACTAGTTCCTATATTCTATATTTCTATAGCAAAATGTTCTTTTGTTTTTTTCAAGAAAAATGCTAGGGGTACACCTTTGGAAAGGTGTACCCCATTTGTCCCTCACCCCCTCCATTACTAAAAAAATGGGCAAAAATTTAAAAAAAAAATAAATAAATAAAAAATAGATAAAAATGATTGGTGGAGAAGGGGGTAGGGGACAAATGGGATACACTTTTGGTGTACCCCTGGCATTCCTCTTTTTTCAATTTACCTTTAAAAAACGAGTTCGGCTACTTATTTTTTCTAAAATAAATATTTAATTATTCCAAAATAAAAATTAATGCGGATATATGAAAAACTTCATATACCTGTATGTATGGTATCGATATACTTCCTTCTTAACCTTGAGCATGTTGTGTTGGCCTCATTGAGCCTCTTAACTTTTAACAAAAATCGTAATTGAGCCGACGCCATTCAAATAAGTCATAATGCATATATGCCAAACTACACTAAAAGATTGAGGCTCTGTTCCGTTTAACTTATTTTTTTTGATCTGATCTAATTTTTTGTAGTTCTAATCTGGTCAGATCTGAATTGATTAGATCTGATCTGATCTGATTGGATGTGATCTGGTTTGATTGAATATGATCTGACATTACTTGATTAATTATGATTTGATTTAAAATTCAAATCAATAATTTGATCTGACTTTATAATAACTTTTGAAAGTTGTAATGATAATTCATATTATAATATAATTAATATTTTTTATTTTATGATTATTTTTTAATGAAATAAAATTAGTTGATTCATATATTAGAATAATCATTCATATTATAATTTAATAATATTTTTTTATTTTATGATTACTTTTTTATGTAATAAGAATATTGATTTAATATTTTAATGATTAGTTCATATATACATTAGAATAGATTTTTAATTCATATAAACATTAAAAAGTAATTTAATTCAGACAATCAATACAGAGAAGAGATTGTATTTTTATTAAAATATCTCATCCTTATAAAATATCAATGTTAAGCAAAGAAATAATACATTTTTCTGCATCTTGTATAATAATACATTACATGCTAGATGTGCTTGATAAAAAACGTTGTATGCTATAAATAATACATTGCATAAAATGTTACACACTCATGTTCTCTTCAATCCCACTCAATGAATCTCAAATTTATTTTTTGAAAGAATCCTATCAAGTAAAATAAGTAAAAAGTATAGAATTTAAAATAACAACAACAACAATAATAATAATACTTCTTGATTGGATCTGATCAGATCAGCTCATATAAGATCCAATCAGATCATATCATATCAGATCATATCCAATCAGATATGATATAATCTGCTTAGATCTGATCTGATCTGGTCTGATCGAATCTGATCTGATTTTAGTAAGAATAAGAAAAAAAGGAAAAAAATAGATTGAATGGAACGAGGCCTGAATCTCACATCTCTCCCTTCCATGCTTGTCAAACCCAAAAGTTATGTTTTGTTCTTATTTTTTGTGATTCCATTGATCCTATCTCGCCTTAGGCCATGTTCTCCTCAATTTTTTTTACTTATTACGAATTCTTATTGGAATCAGATCAGATCAAAAATATCTTTAGATATAACTATATTCGAATCAGATCAAACTAGATCAAATCAAAATTTATTCCAATCATATTATAACTAATCAGATCAAGTGAAAAGAACATCGTTTTAGCCTCCCCTAAATTTCTATGACCCATTGGGATAGGAATTATTTCGGGGTCAAATAGATAGAGTAAGGTGTATAATGCCTAAGAGCATCTCCAATGGCCACAAATCTTAAGTTTTTTAGAGGAGAGAGTAGTCCAACAGTCCCCTATATTTCTAAATTCAAAATGGAGTTTTACTCATTCTCTGCACTCTTCCACCGCATATTTGCGAGCCTACTGTAGCTACTGCAAACCCTCACTCCGCTTTTCCTTCACCATCCTCATTCTTCACTTATTAATCATGATCCACTCCCTCCGTCCCAATTGAATCGCCAATTTTGGTTTACGATAATTGATTGAAGTTATTTTTAAATTATTTTATATGAAAAATGGTGTACAATTTAAAAAATATATACATAAACAATACATTAAAGAATCTACAAAATTAGTGATGACAAGACTATATTATTTTATCAAATATCTACAAAATTAGTGGTGACAAGACTATATTATTTTATCAAATGATTAACAAAAATAAAAAACGAAAGTAGATGCACTTTGATCCTCTAAAAAGGAAATAGACCTATCCTTTAATGGCTTACCAAAGTATTTATTTTTTTCTGTAGCCAACCCTTTCTTTTTACTACAATCCCTTTTTTAATATGTCTTGAATCCCTATGTTGCTCTATTAGGCCCTAATTGTTACGGAGTATATTGGGACAAGTCCCTCTTGTGTGCCTATTTATATAGAAGTAGGGCACAAAACTCTGTAATCTACAACTGTCATCATTATATAATGGGATCTCCATTCTTGCATGTGGACGTAGCCAACACAACATTGATGAACCTCGTTAAATTTGTGTCCCTTTATGTTTCCGTTTGTTTTCAATTCCAAAATTACTCTATTCCGTTTTAACAAATCTTTTTTTAGATGTATGTAGTTTTTTTGCTCACTGCCATTAGGTTTAATTTTATTTATGTATTTATATTTTTTATAGCTTAATGTAGTTTTAAATTTAGAATTATAATATAAAAGTGTTGAAAAAAGAAATATACTCCATCTGTTCTAAAACCATCTTCTCACTTCCATTTTCTCTCCGTCCTAAAACTACTGTCTCACATCTTTAAAAAGGAAGTGTAATGACCATGCTATCCTTACAACATTACTCCCCAACCGTCCCAATTATTTATCGACATTCTCTCTCCCTCTATCTCTATCTCTGTCACTCTTTCAATTCCCCTTTCTAAAAACCCTAGATCTAATTTAGGGAATTGCAGCCATCACTGCCCTTGTTGCATCTTTTCATGATCATCATCGGCTCTTCCTTACTCGGCATCTCAGCTCCCGGCTAGACAGACCGTTCACGAAGGAAATTGGGCCGGGGATCGCAAGAAGAGTGATGATAAGAGTGGTTAGGCCGCCCGTCGCCAGTCTGGGAATCAAAGTCTGAGGAGCTTCATAAGATTGGAGTTGCTAATGAGCTTCCTTCAATCTGAAGTTTGCCCTAGCCTCCCAACGCTAATTTTCAATTGTTTTTTGGTAAAAAATCATCCATTTTTCAATCATTTTTACAATCTATTTTCGAATTACTTTTTCCAGTCTATTTTACATAGCCTAATTGCCGAAAGGACACACAAGTTTTAAGTTTTCAATTTTAGATGGAGGGGCATTTTTGAAAGTCAAAACCATATCAATCCATCCCTTAAAAATGACCCAAAGTCAAAGCAGGAAGATGGTTTTAGGACGGAGGGAGTATTATGCTTTGGAAGACAATACTAATTTTCGAGTAATTATGCTTTGGAAGAGAAGGCCGGCTTGCACATTTGCAGGGTCGGAAGAGACGATCGTGCATCTAAAGAGAGAAGACCAAACCTGTAATAACCCGATTTGAAAATAAATGGATTGGGGGAAGGAAATGCTCCAAAGGATTGATATACTACTCATACCAACAAGGTGCATCTTCTTTTCGAAAGCTCATCCCTTAAAAACTCCAAAATTAAACGTGATTGACTTGGAGGAGTTCTTGGATTGGTGACCTCTGGGAAATTTCCTAAGCATGCACGAGTGAGGACAAAGTGTGCGGAAAAGACTTGTGCTCGTTTGTGGAACCAGTCTACAATTGTACGAGCAGACACTTTCAGCCAGTATTGGGGCCAGGGTGTTACAAAACGAGTTGCACACCTACAACTCCGAGGAAAGCCCCAGTTATGATTTGACCAAACGAGTAGGGACAAACACAATTTATACTAATCCATAGGTCTAAGCCAGAGACAAAAGTTTCATGTGATGGGGCCATAATGCGATGTACCAACAAATATAAAAAAGTTACCCTTTAAAATTTTATCGATGGGTGTTGTTGCCAGCTGGCAATTACACTAAGCATAGAACCACTGCAAGTACAAGTGTATCAATCTGTGATTAAAACCTAATTTATTTATTCTCACGTGATTGTTCGGATCCTCAAATTCATCCTTTTATTGAGGAAAGCCGGCACGAAGTCACAGACTAACTATCCCCGATCCGTTGGTGTAACAAACTTAACTCTTACACCAAATAACAAAAATGACACTCCCTTCATCTCAGAGTATTTGTCCAATTTGACTTTTTCGAGTCAATCTGAACAAACTTTGAGCTTCAATTAAATAAAAATCGTAAAGTATTTTAATATAAATATGACTTTGTTGGATTTATCGTATTGAGAACTTTCGAAATTGTATTTCATTATGCTAATATGTAATACAAGTTGAGAGTAATTGGAGTTAAAAGTTTGTCCAGTTTGACTCAAAAAAGTCAAACTGGACAAATACTTTGGGACGAAGGTAGTATGATGTATTTGAGGGAGGGTATGCCCAATTTTACAGTATAATTTACGGGTTTAAGAAAATCGGTGTTTTTATCTCTATAAATCTCAACAATACAATTTACGGAATATATTTTTGAAATTTAAATGCTCCGGGACACCCAGGGACTCTCTCACCTTATTAGCTAGCTTAGAGATGTGGCTCTCCCAAGTGTTCTATCATTAAACAACAAAACACACACCCAAACACACACATGACACAACCTATCAACAAAAAACAACAACCCAGTTGAATCCCACTACAGTAGGGTCTGGGGAGGGTGTGTGTACGCAGACCTTGCCCCTATTTGAAAGTAGGGAGGCTGTTTCCAAGAGACCCCCGGCTCAACCTGCACAAAAAATATGGTAGAGAACACAATATAACAGGATAACAAGATATAACAGGATATAACAGGATAAAGCACCAAGTACAATGAAATGAAAGTCCAGCAAGCAAAAGTAGAAGATACCAAACAAACACAACACACTACAAAAACCTCTACAGCACCGAGCTCCTAACCAGCTACTCTAATCCTAGTCCTCCAAAGGTTCCTATCTAAGGCCATATCCTCAGTCAGGGTGAGAAGTCCTAAATCCTGCCTAATCACCTCCTTCCAATTCCTCCTAGGTCTACCCCTTCCCCTACTTCCCCCGATAACCGTGATCCTCTCGCACCTCCGCACAGGAGCATCAACATCCCGCCGTCTCACATGCCCAAACCATCTCAACCTCGCTTCCCGCAACTTATCCTCCACCGGTGCCATGCCTACCTAACGTCGGATAACTTCGTTCGAAATCCTATCCAACCTTGTCTTCCCACACATCCATCTTAACATCCGCATCTCCGCCGCATGCAAACGACGCACATGAGTCTTCTTAACCGCCC